CCAGTTCAAGCCTCCTGAAGGGAGATAGAAAAGACACCTGAAAGCCATCTGCAGTCTCCCCTTGAGATGGCTTGGTCCCAAGGCTTTGCCATTCAAACCCTGGAGGGGTTACTCACTTTAAATAAAATAGAACGAAAACACTACAACCCATGGCAACCACAGCAATTATACCCCTTGTTCTTCCAGGTTGCTCCAAGGGAATAGCATTGAAACTGCTCACTCTACAAGGGATGAAGCAATGAGGATACAGAGACACCCCAGAGGAGCAGGAATAAAAATACTGGACACAGAATGCTGCAAACAGCTTTCTTACCAATTGTTTAATCTTTCCCCTAGACTAGATCAGGAGGAAAGAAGGTAATTTGATAGCAATGGATGAAATCACTGACGCAAGCTAAAAGGCATGTAGAAGTGAAATTTGTCATTCCTTTTTCTTACGGGCAATAAAGTCAAACTTCGGGAGTCCCACCTACAGATTCTCAAAGTTCCCAAAGCAACACTATTGTCATCCCAGCATCTCTCTCTTCCTCTGTGCCCCAGCTGAGAATCAAAAGGCTACTTTAATTCAACTCAAAGCAAAGAATTCACTTCAGCTCAGCTGCAGCCATCCCTGGGAACCCCTGAGCATGCCTTCTGTGTAAACAGCTCTTAATTAAAAGTTGCAACTACCCGCCTAAAGGGATTTATCTGGATCATCAGTCGATCAACAGGCTCAGTTCTGTTGCTCCCCCTTAACCCAACTACAGCACTTTTAAATGAAGTTTCTTGCTCACTGATCAGAAGAAACAGTGCTTACAGAACAGACCCCACATTTTCCCATCTTGTTTTTTTCTGAACAGAGTACTTTGGGAAAATTCCAGTCCCATTGGTTGTTTTACAGGATCAGGCATACCGATTTTTCCCTCGTAAAACTTCAGAGAGGCATTCTGGCATTTCATGGACAAGAGTTCATTAATACAACATTAACACATCTTTTAGGGCAAGGGGAAACCAAATTCAACTCAAGAGCTTTCTTTTTCATGTCCTGTGCCATTTCGTGAACTTGTTCCTTTTTTTAAAATCTGCTTTTTCAACAGCTGAGACAAAACGGGAGGAATGTAAAAAAACTGAAAAGTTCATCTTTATTTCAGAGATCACAGAACTACTAAAACAAAGGTTTTGTCTCAGAAAAGCATACAAGATGAAAATATTTCTATAAATGTTGTTCCGATGCTGCTTGTTTGTGTATCTCTCTATATGGCATAAAAAGTGAATTTTATGAGACTTCTTTCAGGTAGCAAAAGGAGTTTTGAAGCCGTAGAACAGCTTCTGTACCTATATATGCTCAGCCCAAACTTTGATTAAAAGATTTAGTTTCCCCATCACCAGTGCTCCCCCTTGCGATCTCTAAAGGTGCACAACACAAGGCAAGGGAGATAAAAGCCCCAAACTCCATATATCCTCTAGGGATTTCATATACTGGTGGTGATATGCTAAATTACACCATATCCACAGCAACATGGATCTTATAACCATCGACACAGAGCTTGACAGTGTAATTGTTCCCTCCCTCCCTGAAGTCCATGGAACCAAAATTCCTTGAGCCAGAAGGCCAAGGGCTGGTGTAAAATTATGCCATCAACCCTGATGTGGCTGCACCTGATACAGGTTATTCCTCAGTGTACCCCTCTGACGTGGTGCCTTATCACAAAATAACTCCACCTGTTTTAGCCGCAAACCATTCCACCACGCTTCTGTTATAGCAACAGCAGGAGTCTGCCTCAAACCATACAGCCTAGAGATGGAGACTACATGGTCCACCAGATGCAGACAGACTGCAATGCCAGCATCCCTCGTTGCTAGCTAGGCTAGTGAAGACTGAAGGCACTCATAGGTGTTCAGATGTTTACTTACAACAGAGATTTGGTTGCAAGTTCTAGCAACAGAAACATTATTAGAACTGTAGTCTTACCCTGTTACTACAAGCCACCTGGACAACTGTTTGTAAAAAAAAAAGAAAAATCACACATCCCACAGATTGACAAAATAACTGTTTTAAAATTTGCAGTGAATGAATCAAATAAATGTGAACTAAATTGGTTCAATGTACTTAAAACAGAAGAAGGCCTCCTCCTCGAGTCTTCACCAGTTACTCAGCCACAAGACAGGAATCTGTGCCGACTGCCACGTTCCTTATGGCCTTTTAATCCGACATAGAGCCTAAAACAGGAGATTATATATAGATAAGATAGCCAACTATTTTGTTATATAACTGATCCAAGTGCAGGCCTCCCCTCTCCCTTTTTGGAAAGGCATTCCTTAAGGCGCCAGCATTCAGTTTAGATCACAGAACCATTGTCTTATCAGCCCCAGAGGGAACTCATACAAGGGCAAAACGCAAAGGAAAGGGAAGATCAGGCAATGCCTCTTTTTCAGGACTGCAATTCTTTAACTTGTAAGATAAGGAAGTAAACAGAATGGAGGTAAGCTTGGACCTTAGTAGAGACAGTGCTAACTAGTCACCATTGAGCCATGAAAAATCACTGGATGAGCCTCAGTCAGTCAGTCGCTTGTCCCCCTCAGCTTGACCTACCTGACACAGCTGGAGTTGTTATTTGGATACGGTTAAGGGAAGAAGAGAGAAGCAAAGACAGGACATAAATGTAACTAACAAATATACAGATACAAGCAATAATCCATCAGCAATACCTTTATTGGCCAACCAAAATGCACAATACACTCCATGGACTTCTTCATCAGGCAAAATGTTACAAACCAAACAGGAGAAAAATTATTGGAGATGTTAGTCAAATGCCTACATGTTGCTTAAGTCTTTAGTTAAGATGGTACATGTCGGGGAGGATATCTTTTGCAGGCAGGCTCCTCCTCCTTCTGGCCCTGTGGCTATAGGGAGATTTGCAAAGTCCAGGAAATTTAAAATCCATTTGCATCTCAACAGGGACCCCTCTTTTGCAATCCAATATGTCTCTATTCCAGTGAGGCCACAGGCCTCTTTGTGACAGAGAACAATGGATTCCTCAAGAAATCTCCAGGTTTTGGCATCAAGAATATTTTGGTGGATGTAGAGGTACTACAAACTGCTGTTGCCTTCCTGAAGGCACAAGATCTCCTCTGATTTTGGAAGCTAAGCAGGGTCAGACCTGGTCACTACTTGTATGAGGGACTGGCAAGGGATGCTGTCGGCTATATTTCAGAGGAAAGCAATAAGTATTCCTTGCCTAAGAAGCCTGGTAATACTCATGGGCCAACTATAAGTAGATAGGTGATTTGAAGATGTATATGCACCCACACAATTAAGTTTCCTGCCAGCCTTTCACACACATTCATGGGATCTGGCAAATACAGAAACAGACATTAATAAATTCATCAGAGAGGTAATATATATTCAAGAGAACATGCACACAAAATAATATTTTGTGTGATCAAGAAGAGATTAGCAAGATGACCAATGAGAAAGGACAGGTAATCTTATTTAGTACACCTCTAACAAATATTTACTGGGAACAGCAACAGGAGCAAGCTAAAGTCCAAACTCTGGGCTACCATGCTGGCT